GGGGAGTGTTTTATTGACTTGATATAAGTGCAGCTAGGGTGTTTGCTTTCCTATCTGGTCCTCCTGATTATGGACGTGGACAACTGGATACAAGTAGATATGGTGAACAATATGCAAGTAAAAGGGTAGATGCCGACCGTGCTTTGCTTCCTGAGCAAACACCATTCTACAAAGATCTAGTAAGACACTTTTTTTCTTCAAAATATTCTATCTTCAATATGGATATACACTGTGAGCTTAGATCTAACGGCTCTTTTGTAGGCCACAATTGCTGTCCAATCAGGTGTATGCGTAGATTTATTTGCAGTTACAAATGAGTACACAGATTTAGCATCCCTGAAGTTCCTTAGCATCGAAAGTGGTGGTTCGCTATTTTTGTATTCAAGCACTGATGATTCGACTCTTCCCCAAGACATGTTAGTTCTGATGCTTGGCCAGCATTATTTTTTAAAACTTCAATAGAAAGAAGGCAGGTTATGCTTTATTCGAGTGTTACCAAATTAATTAAAACAAAATTGCACGATGTTCTTTTACAGGTTTCGGATGCTTAATCGGCCGTATGCTTTCAATTGCGTCTTGAGATTGAGAACGTCAACTGAATTCAAACCTGGCAACTCTGTAAGTGGTTTAGTGAGAAACTTCAGATAATGATATTTTCTGTCTTTTACTTTGCTTTACCTAACTATTTAGCTTTACTCTGCAGTTTGGTCACTTCTTTCCTGATCCACAGTACGAGAACCTTCAACATATCATTTGCTGTGATTCATATGCAACATATGCTTATGACTTTGATTTTGCAGATAATACTGGATTTTCCAGGTAAACTTAAGAATTATTGTGTTATTGTATAAATTTTTAATGATTGGGTGGAATTGATGAAATGGATGCAAGTTGCGACCATGCGCTCAGACTTTTGTTAAGCTCCTGATCCTTGATTTTTCACTTCTATTTTGAATTTCAATGGATCTGTAATTAGTCATTTCATGCTTTTCCTGACATGCAATCGAATATTATTAATTTTTAGAATTATCAAAGTTTTTACTAAATTGTTGAATCCTGATTCCAAGAAGAATAAAAGCCAAGCATTTTAGAAGAAGTCGCCAGTTTGGTTAAGAGACATGGGACTCATAGATGCTAACTTCTTTTTGCTCATTACCTTTTCCAGACATTCTGGAGAGCAACCAGTGGTGCAAATTGCATTCCAGTACACAGTCGTTGTACCTCCCGAGGCACTGTCAAATTCCGAAATGTCATCTTCAAGTAGGTATGATTATATATCCATGCTCTTGATTGACTATTGTAGTCATTGTTTGCCAGTGGCAAACATAGAAGGCTAGGCTAAGCTTTTAATTGACTTTTTTGTTAAATCGAGTACTAGAATTGAATCTTATAACTAGTACACTGGTCCACGCCAAAGCGTAGAGTTGATAGTAAACCTAAAACTTCCCTAATTGTTTATATCCTGTTAATGACCCCAGACAATCTATGTTTTACAGAGGCAAACACACAATTCAGAGACGACTAAGGATCAGAACCATGCAATTTGGAACTGCTCACAACATCAATGAAATTTATGACAGTGTGGATCATGAAGTTGTTCTCTCATTGCTCGTTCACAAGGTAAAAGTTATTTCATGTTTTTATCCCGGCTCAAGTGAAAGAAATGAATCCGTTGTTAATCTGCTAATTATGCATGCATTTTCGTAACTAAATCTGTGCAGGTAATTTTGGCCTCTCTGGAAGATGGAGTCCGAGAAGGGAGGGCATTGCTTCATGATTGGCTAGTAATTCTAACAGCACAATACAATGATGCCTTCAATCTCGTCCAATACAAAAACGGAAACAAGTCAATGAGTTCTCAGATTGATATCACGTTTTCACAATGCCCTCAACTTGAGCCATTGCCTCGTTTAGTATTTGCCTTACTGCGGAATCCCCTTCTCCGGTTTCATGAAGAAGGTGTTCATCCTGACTACAGAATCTACTTACAATGCCTTTTCAGGTAATCACCCCAATAACCTAATGAGTTGTTGTGAGTTGTATTGTATCTCAGGCTGGGATTGTTTCAAATGTCAACTTCTGCATTGGCGTTTACATGTGACAAAACTCTATCACAGATTAAGCTTTTTAGTTTTCTCATTATATCTTTTGCAAAGTGTTAAGGCAATAGTCAAAAATGCAAATGGAGTTTCTCCTTCCTATTGTGTTTGTTTTTTCCATTCCGACAAACAATCAAGGCTTAAATTCTCTAGATTTTTTACTTAGTTTTGTTTTCTCAAAATTGCAGTGTATTGGACCCGAGCTCTCTCCATTGCGGGATTTACCCAGCGCTAATGTCATATTCAACACCAGATACACTGGCATATCCTCGTCATTCATTGAGCCGTGCAGCATTGATAACAAGTGGTAGTCCAATATTTTTCCTAGATGCATATACCACTTTGATAGTCTTCTACTCATCAACAGCAGACCCGTCAATGCCTTTCCCTCCCCCACAAGACTGTAAGATTCTCACTGAAATCATAAACCAATTCAGCCACCTTTAGATCTGTTTGGTTATGTTTACGTTTACCTGAAAATTGTATCTCATAGGTTTATTGAGGAAGACCATAAACAAGGTGAAGCAAGAAAGGAACATCACACCAAAACTGATGTTTATACGAGGAGGAAAAGACGATGCTACCGCCTTTGAGAACTATCTTATAGAAGAACAAGATGTGGATGGTAGCGGTTTTGCTAGCGCTATGGGTTTTGTGTCGTTCCTCGATGATATTTCGCTGCGCGTCACTGAATACATGAAGTGAAAGCCAGATGACCCTTTAGGTTCTTTTATACAGTACATCCCAACTCGAAAAACGTTTCCCATTTAGAGTTTTTTGCTCTTGTTGTAACATTTGAGTAGACTAGCTCCCAACTTTTTTGGCTCTCCGAATCAGAATATGGATAATTAAGCAAAAATTGGTTCTTCATTCTTCTGTTGCAAAACTTCATTTTCTCAACTCTCAGTCTTAGTCACGAAGACTCAGAATCTGGGTTTGTTTTGTATGTGTTTTTCTCTGATTTCGTATAATTAGATCACTTGAGTCTCGAATGTGTGTGTTTTTAGTGAACTCTAGGTTGTTTATTGAAAAAGCAGGACTTTTGTCATACTAAGCTGTAGCCTTATTGGAGAATTCATCAATCGAAGAGTATAGAGTTATGGTTTGAGTTTATGATTTGTCATATAAAATTCCTATTAATGTACATAATAATGCATATGGATGCCAGAGATGTAAAAAGAAAACTCAAAAAAGCTTTGTATTTTTTGGGAAAGCATAAAGTTTGTGGTCTTGAATCTTATAATGTTCTTAAAGATAATAATACTTTGACGTAAGAAGACAAATTAAACGACACAAAGATTCGATGTTTTTTTATTGGGGGATGCTTAGGCCATCTCCAGTGGAGAACTTTAAGGAGTACTTTAAACACAATCAATTAATAAAAAATAACAAAATCAAAGAAAGAGAGAGGTACCGTTACTTAAATTGGTACTACCAGCACCGGTACTTACATAAAATAGAACAGATGTCAAACTTTCAGCAATTAAAATTAAAAAATAAATAAATAAAATAAAATAATATTTTTTATTTTTTTTAAGTACCACTCACGAGTGGAGATGGCCTTATAAAGTTTCTCTTTTTTATTTTTACTTTTTTTGGAGTGTCAAAATCCAACTAATAAGAACGTGATCCTCATTTGTTTCGACTGTGACACTGGTCCGTGAGTTTAGCAAAAAGAGATTTTTTTTTTATTTTTTATTACATTCTAACTTCTATGATTATCTCTACAAGATTAAGATACAAAGTGCCATCATTTTCACTCATCAGCACCACCATCACTGATTAATAAGGATCCCATAATATAATTGCTTTTCTAGTAAGATTATAAGATTGTATATTATACCCTAGCCAAAAGTGTGTGGTGTCGTTTTACCAATTTCCTTAAATAATCTCCGCCTAGTTTTGGTTACTCTTCGTGTAATTGCTAAGTCCAGCTTATCCGTTTCGGACATTCGGTTAATGATTTATCTCTTAAAAAATTAAATCATGTAATTATTTTTTGCCTAATCCGATTATTTTTAGATTACAAATATAAAACATATTTTTTTATTAAACATTTAGATTGAGAATTTTTTGTGATATTTTACGATAAATTATGTCAAAGTTTTAATAAAAATCATAAATTTGGTTTTCAAAATATGTTTGCATTTGTTTACTACTCCCTCCATTCTAGAACATATGATTTTTTGAGCAAATGCATACAAATTAACACTATTATTTAAGTTTTTTTTATTTTGAAATAAAAACACGTAAATATAATTCAACCAATAAAACAATATGTAATATAAATTATTAAAATTAATAAAATATAATTAATTTTGAAAATTATTTACTTTTGAAGAAAAAAAATCAAAAGATCGAGGGAATACAATTTTGAAACCAATACATAGTAGTTTTATATCTTACGTTTTTAAAACATTAATAGGAACTAAATTATACATATATTAATTATTTTAATTAACTTAATAAAATAATCTTATCTTAATACTCCTAGTTTCCGAGTAAACGCTAGTTTCATTTCAAACAGTTTAAAAAAAACTGTAACCTTCAATTTTGCCGTTTTTACTGCCCACGAGCGAAGCATATATATCCGTTATAAATGCTCTCTTTGTCTTGTTTCTCTCTCGATTTCAGAGATTCTCTCTCGAGTTTCTGACACGCGCGTTTGTCGCACGTGTCGTTTAACCCTACACGTCTCTGTTTCGTGGACGCTTGGTTTACCTCATCTCCACCGTTAGATCATAACCATCAATCAATCGTACGGTTAATACCTTAAGGAGCATTGTATTGTTTCTACGACGAGACACATATCGTTATCTTTTTTTTTTTTTTTTTTTTTCTTTTCTTTATTATTTTTGGTAATATCATTATTATTATCATCCATCTCTACTGTCACAGTTTCGTCTTCGTCACTGTGTGTTTGCAATTTTGAAAAAAAGATTCTAAGTTAAGAAACTGTTATGAGAAGGCAGAGGCCATCACCGGCAGCCACAGCCTCGCCGTCGCTTGAGGTTTACAATATCATTCCGATTCATGATTTCTTAACGGAGCATCCGTCGCTAAGGTATCCGGAGGTTAGAGCGGCGGCGGCGGCGTTAAGAGTCGTCGGAGATCTTCCGAAACCTCCGTTTGCTGATTTCACACCTCGCATGGACTTGATGGATTGGCTTGGTCTTCTATTTGGGTTTCAAATCGATAACGTTCGGAATCAGCGAGAGAATCTCGTACTCCACTTAGCTAACTCTCAAATGCGGCTTCAACCGCCGCCGCGTCACCCCGACGGTCTCGATCCGACGGTTCTCCACCGGTTTCGGAAGAAGCTTCTCCGTAACTACACGAATTGGTGTTCTTTCCTCGGAGTGAGGTGCCACGTCACCAGCCCTACCCAGAGCCGTCATCAGACGAACGTTGTTTTGAATCTCCGCCGTGAGCTTCTCTATGTTGCTCTGTTTCTACTGATCTGGGGAGAATCTGCGAATCTCCGGTTCATGCCTGAGTGTTTGTGTTACATTTTTCATCACATGGCTATGGAACTCAATAAAGTCCTCGACGGTGAGTTTGATGATATGACTGGAATGCCTTATTGGCCTTCTTTCTCCGGTGATTGTGCTTACCTGAAGAGTGTGGTCATGCCTATTTACAAGACGGTGAAGACGGAGGTTGAGAGTAGTAACAATGGGACGAAGCCACATTCTGGTTGGAGGAACTATGACGACATTAATGAGTATTTCTGGAGCAAGAGAGCTTTGAAGAGCCTTAAATGGCCTCTTGACTATACCAGTAATTTCTTTGATACTACACCTAAAAGCAGTAGAGTTGGGAAGACTGGTTTTGTGGAGCAAAGATCATTTTGGAATGTCTATCGAAGCTTTGATCGGTTATGGATTTTGTTGTTGCTTTACTTGCAGGCAGCTATTATTGTGGCTACCAGTGATGTGAAATATCCTTGGCATGACCGTGATGTAGAGGTCTAAAAGCTTTTCCTTTGTTTTAATCTATATATACCATGTAAGAGTGTTGAGTTGGTGTTTGTTGGTATATAAGGACATTTTCTGTTCTCCTATTTGCAGGTTGCATTGTTGACTGTTTTCATCACCTGGGCGGGCTTGAGGGTGTTCCAATCTGTGCTCGATGCTAGTACTCAGTATAGTCTGGTGAGCAAAGAAACTGTCTGGCTTTTCATCAGATTGATTTTGAAGTTCGTGGTGGCTGTGGCATGGACAGTTTTGTTTTCGGTCTTCTACGCAAGAATTTGGAGCCAGAAAAATAAGGATGATGAATGGTCTCCAGCTGCAAACGAGAGGATTATCACGTTTCTCAAGATAGTTTTCGTGTATGTTTCGCCTGAGTTATTGGCTCTTGTACTCTTTATTGTTCCTTGTATAAGAAACTGGGTCGAGGAGCTGAATCTTGGAGTTGTGTACTTTCTGACATGGTGGTTCTATAGCAAGACCTTTGTTGGTCGAGGGATGAGGGAAGGCCTGGTGGACAATTTTAAGTATACAGTCTTTTGGATTATTGTACTGGCCAGTAAATTCATATTCAGTTACTTCCTACAAATCAGGCCTCTAATTCCTCCGACCAAGACACTACTGAACCTGAAGAATGCACCATACAAATGGCATGAGTTTTTTGGCAGCACTCACAGGATAGCAATAGGGATGCTTTGGCTTCCTGTTATTTTGGTTTACATGATGGATTTGCAAATTTGGTACTCGATCTACTCATCCCTTGTAGGTGCAACAATTGGTCTGTTTTCTCACTTGGGAGAGATTCGAAACATTGATCAGTTGAGACTTAGATTTCAGTTTTTCTCAAGTGCTATGCAGTTTAACCTTAAACCTGAAGAGCACCTTCTGAGCCCTAAAGCAACAATGCTTAAGAAGGTTCGTGATGCTATTCACCGACTGAAATTGCGATATGGAATTGGTCAGCCTTTCAACAAGATCGAATCCAGTCAAGTTGAAGCAACTTGGTTTGCCCTTATTTGGAATGAGATAATCCTCACGTTTAGGGAGGAAGACCTTATCAATGACAGGGAGGTTGAGCTACTAGAGTTACCGCCTAATTGTTGGAATATTCGGGTTATCCGTTGGCCGTGTTTCCTCATTTGCAATGAGCTCTTACTTGCGCTAAGTCAGGCAAATGAGCTCTGTGACGCTCCTGATCGCTGGCTTTGGTCGAAAATCTGTAGCAGTGAGTACAGGCGTTGTGCTGTTATAGAAGCTTTTGATAGCATCAAATTTGTGGTTCTTAGAATTGTTAAAAATGGCACAGAGGAAGAATCCATACTGAATAGGTTGTTTATGGAGATTGATGATAATATGGAAAACGGAAAGATTACTGATGTATATAAGCTGACAGTACTACTCCGTATTCATGAAAAACTGATATCACTTCTTGAGCGTCTGATGGACCCTGAAAAGAAAGTATTCAGGATCGTGAATATACTGCAAGCTCTGTATGAACTCTGTGCATGGGAATTTCCAAGAATTAGGAGGAGCACTGTGCAGTTAAGACAGCTTGGCTTGGCGCCCGTTAGTTTGGATGCAGACACTGAATTGCTGTTTGTCAATGCCATTAATCTACCTCCTCTTGATGATGTCGTCTTTTATAGGCAGATTCGGCGGGTCCATACAATTCTTACTTCTAGAGATCCAATGCATAATGTGCCAAAGAATCTTGAGGCCAGAGAGCGTCTTGCTTTCTTTAGCAACTCTCTCTTTATGAACATGCCCCAGGCTCCCAGTGTAGAAAAGATGATGGCTTTCAGTGTGTTGACTCCTTACTATGACGAAGAAGTGATGTATCGACAAGAAATGCTCCGAGCTGAGAATGAAGATGGAATATCTACCCTATTCTATCTTCAAAGAATTTATGAAGATGAATGGGTGAATTTTGTGGAACGGATGCGTAGAGAGGGAGCAGAGAATGAAAATGATATTTGGTCAAAGAAGGTTAGAGATCTTCGCCTATGGGCTTCATATAGGGGTCAGACACTGTCTAGAACAGTGCGAGGGATGATGTATTATTATAGTGCCTTAAAGAAGCTTGCCTTTCTTGATTCTGCTTCTGAAATGGACATCCGGATGGGAACTCAGATTGCTCCTGAGCCACGCCGTTCTTACTACACAAGTGATGGTGGGGATAACACTCTGCAACCAACACCTTCTCAGGAAATTAGCAGAATGGCTAGTGGTATTACCCATTTACTTAAAGGGTCTGAGTATGGGAGTGCAATGATGAAATTCACATATGTTGTGGCATGCCAAGTTTATGGACAGCATAAAGCAAGGGGGGACCATAGAGCTGAGGAGATTCTGTTCCTGATGAAAAATCATGAGGCTCTCCGCATTGCATATGTTGATGAGGTTGACTTGGGAAGGGAGGTCGAGTACTACTCGGTTCTTGTGAAATTTGATCGACAGCTTCAAAGAGAGGTGGAGATCTATCGTATCAGACTGCCAGGCCCCTTGAAGCTTGGTGAGGGAAAACCAGAAAACCAAAACCATGCTCTAATCTTTACACGAGGTGATGCGATACAGACCATTGATATGAATCAAGATAACCATTTTGAGGAGGCTCTTAAGATGAGGAACTTGTTGGAATCATTCAAGACTTACTATGGCATAAGGAAGCCTACTATTCTTGGAGTCCGTGAGAAAGTTTTCACGGGTTCGGTATCTTCACTCGCATGGTTCATGTCTTCTCAGGAAACAAGTTTTGTAACCTTAGGACAGCGTGTTCTTGCTAACCCACTGAAAGTGAGGATGCATTACGGTCATCCGGATGTATTTGATCGGTTTTGGTTTGTGCCCCGGGGTGGAATTAGCAAGGCCTCAAGAGTTATTAATATAAGTGAGGATATATTTGCTGGATTCAATTGTACTTTAAGAGGCGGGAATGTGACACACCATGAATACATTCAAGTAGGCAAAGGAAGGGATGTGGGTTTGAATCAGATTTCTATGTTTGAAGCCAAGGTAGCAAGTGGTAACGGTGAGCAAGCATTGAGCAGAGACGTATACAGGTTAGGTCACAGGCTGGACTTTTTTAGAATGCTCTCTTTCTTCTACACAACGGTTGGCTACTACTTCAACACAATGTTGGTAGTATTTACTGTGTATGCATTCTTGTGGGGTAGGCTTTATCTAGCACTTAGTGGTGTTGAAAGAATAGCAAAGGATAGGAGTAACAGCAATGAAGCGTTTGCTACAATTTTGAATCAACAATTTGTTATTCAGCTAGGACTTTTCACTGCGCTGCCAATGATTCTTGAAAATTCATTGGAGCGTGGGTTTCTTCCAGCGATTTGGGACTTCATAACAATGCAGCTGCAACTTGCATCGTTTTTCTACACGTTTTCCATGGGAACTCGAACCCATTACTTTGGCCGGACAATACTCCATGGTGGAGCCAAGTATCGTGCCACTGGAAGAGGGTTCGTGGTGGAGCATAAGAAATTCGCTGAGAACTACAGATTGTATGCTCGAACTCATTTCATCAAGGCTATTGAGCTCGCGACTATTCTGTTGGTATATGCGGCTTATAGCCCGTTGGCTAAGAGTTCGATTGTTTACATATTGATGACGATTTCGAGCTGGTTCCTTGTTACATCTTGGATTATTTCTCCATTTCTGTTTAACCCATCTGGTTTTGATTGGCTCAAAACAGTGAATGATTTTGACGATTTCATTGCGTGGCTATGGTCTAGAGGCGGGTTGTTTACGAAAGCAGATCAGAGTTGGTTTACGTGGTGGAATGAGGAACAAGAGCATCTGAAAACAACTGGAGTGTGGGGAAAACTGCTTGAGATTATACTTGATCTTCGGTTCTTCTTTTTCCAGTACAGTATCGTGTACCATCTTCGCATCGCAGAGAAGCGGACCAGTATTGGTGTATACTTGGTTTCTTGGGCATGCATCATCGGGATTGCTGCGATATACATCACAACAATCTATGCTCAGAAAAGATATTCTGTCAAGGAGCATATTAAATACCGATTCATTCAGTTCATAGTAATTGTCCTCACGGTTCTTGTGGTCGTGCTGATGCTGCAGTTCACTAAACTTACAGTTGTTGATTTGTTGATTAGTCTATTAGCTTTTGTTCCCACAGGCTGGGGATTGATTTCCATAGCTCAAGTACTGAAACCGTTTCTGTTATCAACAGTGGTATGGGACGCAATAATCTCTGTTGGTCGCCTTTACGACCTCTTATTTGGGTTGATAGTTATGGCTCCAGTTGCATTGCTATCATGGTTGCCTGGTTTTCAGAATATGCAAACACGGATTTTGTTCAATGAAGCGTTTAGCAGAGGGTTACAGATTTCTATCATCCTTGCTGGCAAAAAATCCAATTGAAGCAAATATTGGTATGGCACAAGTCTAACAAATATATGTTACTGATTACTCTTAAGTACATCCATTAATTTTCAATCTACAGCTTCTGAGGAATTGTTGGAGCTTACAAAAAGTTCATTGCTAGCGGCTCTGGAAGGTCATTTCATACAAAATTGTAAGGACCTATACCAGTTGTAAAGAATGTATGTATTCCCCCTGCTGTGGAGAGCAGTTTATCACTAGAACTTGAGGATGTCATGCCCTTGTTACAATTTTTGGCTTCGGTATGGTCATTTTTTAACATCTCCTTTCATGTTTCTACTTCTTTGGTGATTGTTGGATCACATGGTTATGAACAGTTCCCTTGCTATAAACTTCCTGCAGGTAGAAACTTGCGAGGATCGTATCGCTGGTGCTCTGGAAACACTTAGACCAATAAATTCCTGGGAGAGATGAGCTGGAGCAGCTCAAGGAATGGATAGTGTGTTGATGGGTGGTAGAGGCTTTGGTACAGCTATGGAAGCTCTCTTCAACTATCTATGATCTGAATTTGGGAATTCATTTGCATTAGGTATGTAAAAATATATAGCATGGCTATACTTTAATATGTTTCAACATATTCATAGTGGGTACTGGGTAGTGTTTTATTGACTTGATATAATTGCAGCTAGGGTGTTTGCTTTCCTATCTGGTCCTCCTGATTATGGACGTTGTCAGCGGGATCCAAGTAGATATGGTGAACAGTATGCAAGTAAAAGGATCGATGCTGATCGTGATTTGCTTCCTAAGCAAACACCATTCTTCAAAGACCTAGTAAGACTCTTATTTCAAGATTTTCTATCTCCAAGATGGATATATACTATGAGCTTAGATCTAACGGCTCCTTTATAGGCTACCATTGTTGTCCAATCAGGTGTATGCGTAGCAAGAAAGGAGCATCAAACCAAAACTGATGTTTTTACGAGGAAAAGACGATGCTACTGCCTTTGAGAACTATCTTATAGAAGAGCGAGATGTGGATGGTAGCGGTTTTGCTAGCACCATGGGTTCTGTGTCTTTCCTCGATGATATTTCGCAGCGCGTCACTGAATATACATGAAGTGAAAGCTAAATGACCCTTTAGGTTCTTTTATACAGTACATCCAAACTCGAAAAACATATCCCATTTAGAGTTTTTATCTCTTGTTGTAACATTTGTGTAGACTATCTCCCAGTTTTTTTGTCTCTCCGAATCATAATATGAATAATTAAGCAAAAAATGGTTCTTCGTTATTTTGTTGCAAAACTTTCAATTTTCTCAACTTTCACTTACATATAACATATCTGCTAACACTAGAGACAAAGAGCAAAACAATTTAATATCAGTCAGTGAGATGCGAATTGCATTAAACAACACTGCTTCAAGCTTACAACCTAATCCAACACAAACATGAAAACAATTTCCTTGCAAACATATATATGAAAGATCACCTTGAGCTCAATCATCATCTTCATCACCCTCTACCTCTTCACCACTACTATTGCTGCTGTTGTTGTTGTCATTATCTTCACCATTCTCACTCCCATTCTCTTCCATGCTATTGTCCTCATTGCTGCTCTCCTCTTTCTCATTCTCATTATCTTCCATGCTGTTTCCCTCATCCTCATTCTCGTTATCCTCATCATTCCCGTTCTCTTCGGTATTTTCATCATCATTCTCGTCCTCCACGTCATTCCCATTCTCTTCGATATCTTCATCATCATTCTCGTTCTCCTCATCGTTTCCGTTCTCTTCTTCCGTGTTTTCCTTCTCACTCTCCTCATCATCCTTGCTACCTCCCTCATCTCTTTTGCTTTTCCTCGCATTCTTCTGCGTCGATGGCCCTTCCTGTTTCCTCTTTTTCGTCTCTGTGGGCTTCGTAGCCGATCCACCACCAGCAGGCTTCGAAGCAGCTCCTCCACCACCTGCTTTTTTATCAGCGTTCCTCTTCTTAAAATCTGAAAATCAGTCATGTGGATTACAACATATAGAGAGACATTAGCTCAAAAACCAACACACCTAACTCAAGAGTGTCCAAACATAATCCACTTTTACAAAACAATGTTCTTGAATTGAGCTCTTATTACAAGACATAAATCAACAACTCTACTAACCTTCAAGAGAAGCTTTAAGCGGCTCTAAAAATTCTGAAAAATCCATTTCTTCTAATGCCTTAAACACATCATCAGCTTTCATCGTTTGTCTCCTTGCATCTTTACAAAAATCGTTTGCCCTATTTATCATTCACACCCAAAATTAAACGAAATCAAAAACACTAAATTCAACAATCAAATCACATTAACAACAACCCAAAAATTCCCAACGAAGAAATTTCAGAAAGTTAGGGTTTTTAGGCGTACGTGGCGGAGAGGAAGTGAATAAAGATCCGAGCACTCTCGGAGAACGCAAGCAACGCTTCCTTGTGAATACTGACGTCATAATCCGGCGAACATTCCGACAGCTTCTCCTTCACTACCCGGCGCACTATAGCCAGCGGCAGCTCGTCCACCACCACTTTCTCCGACTCCATCTTCACTCCCTCTCTCTCTCTCTCTCTCGCCGTCTTTCCCGCCCTTTAAGTTAATAATTAAAGACAGATCGGCCCACCCAACAAGCCCATTAAGTAATAAAAAGAGTTATAACCTATGTTGCATGGAAATGGAAACGGAAGCAGAAACGAAACGTTTTAGGAAACGCATAAACGAAACGTTTTGGAAACGAGAAACGAGTTTTTTATGAAATTAAGATATGGAAATGTTTTAGAAACGCTAATAATATATACATATCTATATATATATATATATATATATATATATATATAATATTAACATCAAACATCCAAACTTTATTAAAAAAATAAAAATATTTGAAATAACACATTAATCTTAAATATATATACAAAATAGTTTAACTAAAAGATAAATATTAAAACATTGAAATCCATAAATTTAGATATTTATATATCATATATTATTATATATATGTATTTAAATTAAATTAATCAGGTTTTAAAATTATAAAAGTAATAACTCTATATATTAAAAATTAAAATATTTGTTCATTGAGTTTCTAAACTAAAAGTGTAAGATTTCGTCAGGTTTCCAAAATGGAAACACGAGTTTTTATCGTGTTTCTAAAACAAAAAAAATAGGAATCGTGTTTTCATTATAGTTTTCGAGTTTCCAAGAGTTTCGGTTTTCGAAACGTTTCGATGCAACCTAGGTTATAACCGCGTGGACTCAATCTTGACTGTTGGATTATCCTTACTAAATCCACACCGTTCAATTTCCATACTAGCATAACGGCCCATTAATTATAAAAGCCCATATTCAAATTGATTTAGCACTAAAGAGATTACGAACACGCTCTCAATCTCACCGTTGGATTATTCGGAAAAATCACCACCGTCCAATCTCTATACTATTAAAACTTTATCAAACACGCGAATCCCAGAATCAGTCGTCTTCAACCTCTGAATTTGAGAATCTTATAAAGCCATCATCTCTAAGCATTTTTCATAGTCTTAATTAATGGCGTACTCAAACGCCTACGCGCCGTCAGCACCGGAGCTACCAGAATCGTTCGATCAACAGCAGCAGCACCATTACCCGTATCAACCAACTCAACATTTCAGTTCCTCCTCCTCCGGGATGTTTTCGTCGGAAACGCATCCGGAGATCGTGAGGAGCTTTGAATCGGCGGATAGATACCGGAGCGGATTCCTTGAGGAGTCGGAGCTCCGGCAAGCGTTGTTGTGTTCTGGTTACGAAGGGATTAGTAACAGAACGATTAGGTTTCTGATGTTTATCTACAAGATTCCTGGAGATTCTCTTCTTCGTCTTGGTAAAGTTTCTCTTAGTTACTAATCGATTTTGTATGATTGAAGATTTTTTGAAATTAGGTTTGAATTGAATCACTCTTTTGGTAGTACTGATACAAAGTGTTACATGACTTGAATGATTTGATTCATTACAAATCAGAATGTTATGAACATTGAACTCGAATCGATCTTTTCTTCGATTCGATTCCGATGTGTTTTGATTAGTAAAGAGCTTTGAGAAGAATAGTTATGATGATCAAGATCTGTTTAGTGATGAGTGAAATAACCATGTTTATACTTGTTTGCAGGTCCTAAGGAGTATGTTGAGTTGTGGAATTGCCTTGCGCAATGGCGTGTAAGTTTTTTACACTCGAGTGATCATTTCTTCCGCGGATCGATCTGGTTGACGCCGCATTAGCTGTTTCTATGTGTGTTCTTCTATGCCTCAATTGGAGTATTGTTGTGTGTATCTTTTTGTAGGCAATATTTGACAGTTATGATCGAGATAGGAGCGGGAAGATGAATTCTACTGAGCTAAGAGATGCTTTCTATCATCTCGGGTACATGCTTCCAACCTCGGTTCACCAGCTAATCGTATCTCAGTTTGATAATGGGACTGGCAAAACTGTTGAGCTCAGTTTCGACAGTTTCCTTGAGTAAGTTTTCATCGATTCTTGATTCGTATTCTAAACATCATTGAATCCTTTCTCTGATTTTGTTTATGCTGGATTTGCAGGTGTGGGATGATTGTGAAGGTGAGGAACTATGGTCTTTTAACCTCCGTTGCGAATTTCGAAATGCGTTTTCATGTATCTAAACCACTTGAAATCGTTTTAAAGATGTGTATGTATGTTTATTATCAGGGATTGACTGAGAAGTTCAAAGAGAATGACCCTGGTTACACAGGCTACGCAACAATCCCTTACGATGTCTTCATGTTGATGATCGTTCCGTTTATCGCGTCATATGATTAATGTTCACTTGCTGCTTCTTTCTTTTTCTTAGTCACAGTTTCAAATTGCACATAGATGATGGATGTCTAAGTACTGAATAGGGGAGTGAAATCAGACTAGTGAATAGAGAGTAAGGGTAAGTTATTGTCAGAGAGAGAGAGAGAGAGAGATTAATAATCAAAGTTGTAAGATTCTAAAAACATTTTTTTAACAGTAACAAAAGTGATGACTTTGCACCATAGAAAAATCAGAAATATTTAAAAGATTTGAGCCCTTATAAAAAGAAAACAGATTCTTGAACCCCTTTCACGCTCATGTCACGCCGAGGTACTGCAGAAGAAAAAACTGCAAAATCCGATCCAATTTATCGGAATTTCAGTCAAAACCTTATCGAACTGTTGGTGGAGGTCGTCGAGACTACCATTATTATCAATCACAACATCAGCTTTACTCCTTTTCGAATCCAACGGCATCTGAGCCATCACTCTGTTCCTTGCATCTTCCTCACTCAATCCATCTCTCTCCATCAGTCTATTAAGTTGTGTTTCTTGACTAACCCACACAACCACAATGGGTTTGGTCCATTTATCCATCTTTACCTCGAACAACAAAGGGATATCGACAACTATCACCTTAGCGCCACTCGCCCATAATTTCAAGATTTCCCAAATGATACCAGTTGATATGTATGGAGCCATCAGCCTGTAGATTGAAAGACCCAGAACCCCAATTTCAAGATCTCATACAGAACAGAAAATAAAGAGAAATCTCAACTCCTTACTTGTTTAGAAGTTGACGCTTGGAATCAGACGAGAACACAATCTGACCGAGCTTTGGCCGATCGACTTCTCCACTAGGAAGCAGAATATCCTCCCCAAATGCTGCAACTACCTTTTTCCATCCACCACTTCCTTTCTTCAACACATCCTATATAGCAAAACAACACATTCCCCCAACCTTTTTACTAACACTCATTCTCTGAAATGGTCACACAACAGTTTTTAAGATAATTCAAGAAAAGAGACAAGTTACTCACTCGAGCAACGACATCAGCGTCAACAACGGGAATACCACTAGCCTTGAAGAGGTTGGATACAGTACTCTTCCCAGACGCAATCCCTCCTGTTAGTCCGACTATTCTCATTCTCCTATTTCCTCTTTTACTCCTCCAGAACACTTTTATTTTCTCACTGTGTTGGCCTGAGAAACACCAAAATGATATCAAAATGCTCCATAAACAAAAACAACAATCAACTAACAGATTCACAAACATCTTCAACTTTGTTTTACCAATTCCATACAAGAAGAGATCTGTTGTCACAACAATACAAGATAATGGCAAACTAAACTACGAGTATATATCATCACATAAAGAACTCAGGAAGTTTGGTTTCTAAAACCAAGCAGCAAGCAAAAAACAGACTTCAGAGCCACAAGAGTTCAGCATTTGCATCAATAGTAAAGCACCTGGAAGCTAGAGCCAAAAGCGTCTATTCCCGTTGCAAACTGGTGTAAAATTCGTTATCTGGAGCGTAATGAGAAGAAGCAAGATTGAGACTTTCTTAGATCTTCACTCGATGCTCCAACAAAGAGTAGATACTATCACTTAAAAGAGACTCAATCAATCAAACTCACTGACCATAGTTTGATCTCGCTAAAATAGACAAAACCTAACTCGAGAAACAGAAAAAGGAGCCTAAGCAGTTCTCATCAAAATGCCAAAACTACACACAAGTTATAAACAAAGTGATCACAACAAAAATCAATTCTTATAAAGAGGAAACATACTTGCAGAGGAGTCACTCAAAAAACATTACAGCTTTTACTTTTAAGAGTCAGACCATCAAATCTAGATCCTAATTTAAAAAGCTTCTGCGAAAAATAATTCAATTCATTATCATGAATCATCAGTTATTTAATCTAGGCGCACCTGGAAATTTGATGGAGAGAACAAGAATTCGTGATTCACGAGACTCTCAAACGATTTGATGGCTGAAAATTAGAAAAAAATCTGGAAAAAAAAACAGAGGTCTATCATAAATAAGCAAATCGAATTGAAGAAATAGTAAGACAAAATACATGAAATTTGGTAAAAATTCTTACTTTATTTCTATCTTCTTTTTTTTTCTCCTTTTTTTTTGGTTGGTGTGAATCCTCGACAAGAATCGCTGAGAAGATGGGACAAATCAAAGTACAAGAGCTACTGTCGGGATAGTTCGTGTTTCAGTCGGATTTAGAATTTTTTTTGGAAGGTGAAACTCGAAACGGTGTCGTTTGGTTAATTATTATTTAACCAAACAAACTAACCTAAATTGATGTTAAGTAGGTCTGCGCAAAATACATGAACCCGAAAATCCGATCTCAATTCGATCCAAACCCAAACATGAAACCTAAAAATATCCAAACGGATTATATACAGTATCTCTAAACTCGAAAATCTGAATTCGAACTCGAACCAAAACGAAACTCGAATAGATATCCGAATACATTCATAATATAAATATATAATAAGAATTTATTAATATTATATATATATATATATATATTTTTTCTTTTGTAATAATCTAATGTCAAAATTATCCAGGTTTTGTATATTTTGATTATTTTAAAGTTATAAACTCTTTTAAAATAAATTTAAGTAAAAAATTATATAGGTTTTGAAATTTTTTAGTAGTTTGGACATATTTGGATACTGAAATTTTGAATTTTGAAAATTTTGGGTAATCCTAACCCAAACCCTAAAAACTTGATCCGAACCCGAAATCTAAAAATACCCACCTCTTAAGGAATAGACAATGAACCCATGAGGGATGGTCGAGTGTAATATTTAACCAATTAGAAAACAAATGAAACCATATAGGCTCTGAATAGGATCACAGTACAAAAGCAGTTAATTTGCTAAAGCAGTACATTTGTATTTATGTTCCCAATCAAACAAAATAATTATTTAGCTGATAAACTGCGTTTGAACTGCTTTTTGTACTGTTTTTTTAGACAAACGAGAATACTATTTTTTTTTTCATGTTTTCTCTCAAAAAAGCAGAGCAGTCCACCCATACCCACTTAGAAGTGTTTGTGGTAAGTTTTATTTTTTATTTTATTTAATATTAATGTATCTAAAAATTAAATAAATATTTGATCTGCATTTGTAACGCTATATCTGTTTGATCCACTTTTGTTCTTCTCGATCTGCATGACCCACTTGATCTGCTCTGCCTGATACGTTTTCCCCATTCGAATCCATAATATTACCTACCGGTTGCGATGGTCCATACTTGGATGATTTCGGATCTGTTTACGGATTGAATTAGATACATCATAATTTAGAGGATCCAACAACTACGTTCAACACATAATGCACTCATCAATGCTACACTTTGACTTCACATCCCTAAACAATGTTTGTCCCAAAAACAAACTATATGACAGCTTGAGATCACTTCACCAAAGGAGCACATTGCCAGTGTGACACCTCGAACGTATCAGATTCGAATCTATTAAATGGAAAAGCATGTGTATAATAATGGCAGATCGAGCAAGAAGTTTCATGGACGCATATAACTGGAAATAAGTAGTATATGTTATGAAAACCAGTTGAAAAAAGAGTATAGAGTAAAAAAATGTTATCAAAATTCTGTTGCAATTAGTTGTTAAAACGTTTTTTCTGGAATTTAATTTAACATTATATTTTAAAAAATTTGGATTACTATTCAAAATGTGATGTTTAGCTCATCATTTTCCTGATTTTCTTTCAAATTTGCCATTTTCTTACAATTCAGAAAACTAAATATTTGACAAAATTCTTTTATATAATATATATTTAATAACAAATACTATACCCTATAAAGAAATAGAACAAAATCAATCCAAACATAATATGAATTACACATTTAAACAAAAATAAAAATAAAATATTTAAAGAAAAAAATGATAGAATCTAGAAATGCCAAATCTGGAAATGCCACTAAAAATAGTATTTTCTAATAATTGATTCGTGTAAAAAATACATTGATTAATAATTACATTTAGAGACCCTATCGCGTGGAAATGTCGAAGAAACATTTTTTGATGGAACAACCGACCTTTTGACAATATCATTAAACTATTGTTGAACTTTTGTGTAGCTGAAGTTGTGAGGAACATCTTTTTATAGACTACGAGATATGATTCATTTAATTAAATATGTTAATGACTACTAATTTTGTACAGAAACACACAAAAAAAAGCATAATTAGTAGTTACATTAACTGGCTTACAGTTTATTTTTCTGTAAAGAGATTGAGCTAAAAGAAAACAGGGATATATAAATTTATAGGTTGAATTGTGGATCACTAGATGGATGGCATTTGGTATTTAATTATGTATCAGTCAAGAACTTTAAATAGAAATTCACATATACTTTTTAGCATAATCTTATAAATTGGCTGACAGTGTTTTTGAAAAATAAACAATTAAGCGTAAAAAAGTAAACAGTGATATCTATTGATTAGTTGAATTGAGGATCATTACGTGGATATATATAGTATCTAATTATTTATCATTATTTTATTTTTCTCAACTATGATAATTTACTAAACATAACCACATCATACATAGGCTATATCATTATAATACATACTTCACAAAGTTTTTTAAAAAGAGTTAAAATGTAAAGAGAGATACTTATTGATTGGCTGAATCGTGGATCACTAGATGAATATATATATTTATATTTAATTGTTTACATATTCACAACTATTTTAACATATATAACAATTTTTCCAGTTAAGGAATCAATTAATTTGCTTATTGTGAATCCAATACATGACAAAGAATGGTATACCTCACCTATAATAATAATCAATTACGACATTAAGAACCCAAAAAAAAAAAAACCTATAAGGACAGAGACAAAGACATAGAAGCAAAGCTTATCTCATCCTCATCTTGTCGCCCATATCGAGAGTATCATCAACCATGCCACAGCCAAACCCATCACGGCTCTCCACATATTCAATATCTGCACCACATTTTCAACATCTCACATTATCAATATCAACTTTAATCATAACATACTAGAAAATATCCTGACCATAAAACAAAATTATAAAAAAAAAAACCCTTAAAAGTATTCAATTTATACATAATTATGAAGAAGAAAAAAAATGGACAATAATTTGTATACTTAGTCAATTGTGTAGACGTTTCTTTCGTATTTTGTCACTTTTATTACGTGCACTACATATATACAATAACTTATATAAATATGGTCATTATATTGTTGGTTGTATTTAATTTGATACGTACGTACGTATAATACATCAACATAATCTCACTTAACTATGACCAAACTTATAAACGTCTATATATTTTTTTTTTTTTGTCAACCAACAGTAAACGTCAATATTTAATTTTATAAATTTTGCAATAAAAACTTAAACAAAGTAACGTTTTAAAAATATTTTTAAAAATACGTGTATATTAATTAAAATAACTTATAAAATTAATCACAGAATATGAATTTGGAAACCAAAATTTCTCTTAAAAATATATCATAAAAAAAAAATTCATGATTGAAACAATTAAATACTGTAAAGGTTTGAAAATTTTGAAAAAAAAAAAAAAACTGAATGTTTTATAATCTACAAAATAAACTAAAAGTTTTGATTTTTGTTTGTTTAAATAAAAAAGAGAAGTAAAAAATGAATTTACCTTGGTTGAAGTTGCCTTTGAAGAGTAGATAATATCAGGTAAATAACCCTGCATACCGACATTATAAACCGGTTTACCATCCGGGTAAAAAAGTCCATAATTCCTCTCAGAAACCGGACCCGGTTTAAGATTCTCATTGAACAGAGCAAAAACATAAACATCAATAGGAACAGATTGCTTCGCCGGTGTTCCTTTCCTCTGCTGTATCAACTTCAACAAGTTTCCATTATACAAAGCCGCGTTCTCCGGCGAAGCCCCGACCTCGCTCTCGTCGCCTTTCGAAGGCCAACCGGTTTCCGATATCCTCACCTCGATATCGGTATGCCCCAAAGTCTTAATGGCCGAGTAAAGCGCATCAACTTGAGCAAACAACATGTTATCATAATGAAGACTAGTGTTTGGATCAACCATACCTTGATTAGGTTGAAACAGAACATACTCTAATGGAACCTCTTTAGGACTATCTTTATAAGCAAAGAAAGGGTAAGCGTTAATCAAGAAAGGTGACTTAATCTGAGAATGGAAATCAAGAATTGGTTGAAGATATTGTATGAACTCTTCTTTGAATGTTCCTGAAGAAGGAGGGTAAGATGTTTGAAGAATGTCTAGTGAATGAGCTGAAGTCACTGCTACTTGTTTCTCTAAACCGAGATTGGTTAAAGCAGCGTAAACCGATTTCATAGCCGGTAGTAAGCTTGCAATGAGGACATGGTCGTTGGTTTTGAAGATTTCGTTTCCGACAACGATTGAGGTGATTCTTGTCTTTGAGATATGTGGTTGGAGTCTTTGTTGTAGCCATGCTTGAGCTTTGGTCGGATCTGTCGACATGTTTTGAAGATACTCGTTGCCTAAACCGATCATGAAGTCTACTTGTGAGTTTGAGAAAGAGAAGAGAACGTTTGGATCTGCGTCGTAGAGTTTTACTCTTGTTATGTTTAGTGATCGGAGAAGTACGGCTACTCTCGCCGGAGATGGGAGGTTGTTTGCTATTTGGCCGTAGTTTATTCCCACACCTCCTTGTCCTTTAACTCTCTCTGTACCAAACAAAAACAAAACAACACAAAATCAAGAACCAAGAATCAAGAAAATCAAGAACCAAGAATCAAGAAAATCAAGAAAATCAAGAATTGCTCTGGTCCTTGGCCTAAACGAAAAAAAACACAACTCCATAGTTAACAAAAGACAAAACAAGAGTGAAGGGAACCTGAGAGAGTAGTAAGAAAGAAGAGGAGAAGAAGAACTCTGAAGAAGAAGGAGAGACTACTATGTGAAGCCATGGCAAGAATCTCCTTCTACGACGTCGTTTTGGCTCTTCTTCTTCTTCGTTTTGGTATTAATATAAGTTTTGGTATATGGAAAGAACCAAAACTGTTTATTTTTCTTTGCGCGTTCGTCTAAAAAGGTCGAACCAGGTGTCTCTCATTAATACATTTCTATCTACACTTATATACATATACTTTTGTTTCTTAATTAAACGAGTTTTTACTAATCTTTTTCTAACTATAATAAATGTAGAGCTATATGCTTTATTAACTGACCAAAAGTGTAATTAGAGTTTTTATAAGTTTTTTTATGGCCTTTACAGCTCAAGAGTATACGAACGGATTCGGCAAGTTTCTTTACATGCATGTAAGATCAAGGAGGTATAAGTAAAGGTTTGGATTATTATTGATTCAAATAATGTGAATCCAAGCTGTTCTTGAATATTCTAATATCAAATATACTATTAAATTACCTAAAATGTAACGTCACTTGTAATGATTGTTTTGCTTGGCCCAATTTTACGTTACAATTTTTTTTTTTTAAAACGTTACAATTTGACCTCTCTTTTGGAAAGAACAAAAAAAAAACTGATTAATTTGACAAAAAAAAAAAAAAAAAAAAAAAAAAAAAAAAAACTGATTAATATTAGTTGATATTTCAGTTCTTGCAGCCATTAATAGCCAAGTAGGTTATATCATATATTATGATCTTAAAAAAATCCCAATTCCTAATGTGACATTAGATACTTTATTTGCAAAAAATATCAGGAGAATGAACCGACATTGAAAATGATGTTTCCTATGGGTTTCACATGTGTGAAGAGCCATTATTAAAATATGAACAACGATGGTTTAAATTGGGATCGAGGAAGGATGGTCAACTTTGTAACTCTTTTCTCCCAATTCTATGTATGGTCTTCAATTCAAACCACTGGCGGCTTCAACAAAATGCAACTTTCACGATTCACATATCACACGTACGTACAAAATACAAATCATCTTCGTCTTCAAGCTTAGTTTTCTTTATATATTTCTTATCATCAAGTTGTGTGTACGTAGTTTACATATTAGTTTAGATCGAAAAAGACAGAAAGAGACAAGTAAATGAAAATATTTGTTTTCTTTGAACAAATTAGAAACGAAACAAATTGGTTTTAGAATCGTGTATTTAACTGTGTATGTAATAATGTACAATGATTAGGATACTTCACAAACTTTTGAAGAAAGATTACACACGTACGACTCTTTAGAACTCGAGGTCTCTCAAACGCGTGGACCCTCTCCACCAGATTTGTTTTACGTGTATGGTGTTTTGCATGTTGGATGATCAATTGTTTTTGTAAAGTTCAAGGGTTATATAATTCTTCTTTAACTCTAATTTCAATAAGTCTAATATAATCTAATTTATAATTATTATTTTTATCAACACCAAACTCAAAGATTAGCTCAAACAAGTCAATTGGAGGGACAATTGTTAACAAGCTTAACCGAATGCGAAAGCGCACGCACATTGCGTGCCAGGCTATCCGCTTTTACATTCGCATTTCGAGGAATAAGAGATAAAGAAAAGGTAGAAAATTCTTCCCTATCGTTATCGATATCCTTAAGGTATACAAAGAAAGCTGGTCACTCAGAAGGGAAAGACACCATCTTCACCAGTTCGGAGCCGTCTGTTAAAAACTCTACATCTCTGAAATCGTCCAGCGGTTACGATATATGGCTTTCACCCAGGAGACCCGGATTCGATTCTCGGTATCGGATCTAATTTATATTTGTTCGTTAAAAGTTTGGGGGAATTTTAAAAATACTCATCTTACTGTACCGCTTTTAGAAATACTTTTTTTCAAAACTTATAAAAAAACCATTAAAAATATTTATTTTGAAAAGTATTTATTTCTATGTCGACAAACCGACGCTAAATCAAGAAAAATATTTTGTGGTTGTCTTGTAGCAACTCTGATATTTATTTATTCATTCCAAAATTTGGTACCACCAACTTCTAATACTCACCAACAATTTTGATCATAGTTTAAATAAATCATTTTTGCCCATAAAAAAAGTTTAAATAAATCATTAAACAGATAAAACTATATATGAGGAAATTATATATGGTGAGGGAGCCAAGGAGGCGTGAATCTCAGTGACCGGCCACGACTAGATCACCGCCTTTACTGTCACCTGCATGCCCTTTCCTAGCTAACCTCGCCGCCTTCAACGCCTGATCCACTCACGTGCCTGTTTTAATTTCTATCTCTCTACGAACACATTCATGTGTGTGTGTTTCTAGTTTTGTGTAGTGATTAGTGAATATGTGTTTAATTTAATTTTAATCAATAAAAAGAACCGTTGACTTAACACATATAGCTCACTAGTGTAAAATAGTGTTACAACTATTTAAAATTCATCAACAAAGAAAGGATAACAAATCACTATTTTTAGAAATAGTATGAGTTTGATGGAAATAGTGAGATGTATGTAGGCATGTCAATCGGGCTGGCCCGGCCCGGCCCGGTCCGAAGCCCGTAAAACCCTTATATATTTAAGCCCGGCCCGGTCCGGCCCGAAAAATATTCGGGCCTATATTTCAAAACCCGGCCCGGCTCTGACAGGGCTACAGGGCTTTTTTGAGCTTTTTCGGGCTTTTCTTGAAAATAAAACTGATTTCAAATTTTATATTTTTTTAATTGAAAATGATTGAAACAATTCAATTTAAATATAAGTAACCACTAATATTTATTTAAACTCACTTTATTTTTAAAGAATAAAGTTTTTTTATTCGTGAAATTAAAAAAAATGTTTCAAAAGTAAACAAATCCAAACAAAAGAGTTTAAACTCATACCAAATAAAACAAAAATCAAAAAGACTTCAAATTAGGTATTAGAGTCAAGATTTGGCTCTCCTTCAATGCCTTCAGAATTCTCTTCCCCTTCCGTGTCTTCTAAATCTTTCTCATCATTAAGAGCTATATACAAACATTTAACTTATGTTTATAATGAATTTTGACATGTATAAATCAATAAAATATCATATATAGTTTTTTAAAATAAAAATAAATAAATAATTACAAATAACATTTATTACCTGGATCATCAGACGTAAATCCATCCAACCAAGTCCGTGTACAAACCAGAGCTTCAACGTGTCTTGGTAGAAGACGACTTCTATATTTATTCAAGACATGCGCACCAATACTAAATGAAGACTCTGCTGCCACCGAAGTTATAGGAATACTCAAAACATCACAAGCCATACGAGCTAGCTCCCCATAACGTTGTGTTTGATTCTTCCACCATTCTAAAACATCCATGTCTTCATAAAAGGTCATTTCCAACCTATCGTCTTCTAAATACACAGCCAATTTAGACTTTCCTTCTTCTAGAATAGTACGTTTCTCATATGCTTTGAAATCCTATTATTAACAAACCAAAATAAATTAAATTCTAGTAATCAAATGGTTAAATTAAAACCAAATATATAAAGAAAGAATTTAGTAATCAGATGGTTAAATTAAAACTAAATATATAAAGAAAGAATCTTACGCTAAACATATAAAGAAAGAATATTTTTAGGGTTCTTCGGGCCGGCCCGAGCCCGATCGGGCTAAGCCCAAAAAAACCCTTTGTCCAAACGGGCTTAGCCCGAAAGGCCCGATATTTTTTGGACATTTATATTAAAGCCCGAGCCCGATATTTTTAAGGGCCTGGCTGGGCTAGCCCGCGGGCTTTGGCCCTAATTGACATGCCTAGATGTATGTATGTGGTGAACTATTATGGGTAAGATGGAATCATCATCTAGTCACGACCACGCGTTCCACTGAAAATAACCAATAAGAGTTTTCACTTAAATTAATTGCTTAGAAAGAAAAAAAGCTTTTTGCTAACATTTTGTTAACTTTTATATAGAATAATGTGAATTGTATTGCTCCTCAAAACAATGATTACACAACAAACATAAACACATGTTGTTACTTATATCACTGAATCGCTAACATGTTAGAGCTTCGATAAGTCAATCATCGGAGAGTGAAGAGTATGGTTCTTAGTGCTAGAGATCCATCATCTTGGATCACATTTATATACGAGCTTGTTCTTCCAAGTGGCCTTTTGGTACAAGTTCTTTAAAACCCATCTCTAAGATTTGTTAAGACACCACCAATAATGATGACCTAATAACTTACAATATATAAGAGTAATGGAGAGTGAAGAGGATGGTTCTTATTGTTAGTGGTCTTTTAGGCCTAGACAAGAAGCCCTTTTTAAAAAGCTTGTACCAGAAACCCTAAACTTTATATCCTAGCTTACTTTATACGTTTACTCGACTTTAAAACTCTAGATTTTGCTATCAATCTGAGAAACACAATACCTTGACAATATCTTAGACGTAAGCAAATCAAATCGGTTAGCTTCCTCTCTCGATTATAATTAGATTTTATTCGACATAGAACCCAAGATTTTGATATAGAACTGAGAAACTCATCTCCTAAGATTCATTTTTTTTTTTTTCTAATAATCTAGGAAAAATGGAATACAATAGAATCAACATATTGTCAGATTTTTTTTATAGCTTTGATACTCTCGTACCTTCTTGACTAGCGATTTGGCTAAAATAAGTGTTTTATCGAAGAGATGGCGATTTCTCTGGCTCGACATTTCAAGAGTGGGCGTCGATTTTGTCCTAATCCAAATCTTGTTCTGATGATGATGGTAAGAACAAATCTTGTTCACTGAACACTGAACAGTAACGTAGAATTATCTATTCTCATGGAAGTTTCAGCTAGGCTTATGATTTTATAGACGTGCTTTATTTATCATTGCTCATTTCCATATCTTTGGATTCTTTAACCATGGATCATCTTATATGTTTTAAATGGTCAAGATGTTACAACTTTCTTGCATAAAGACTTAGGCTTAACCTGCAAAGAATTTTTTTTTTTATAGGGGTTTTGTGTTTTGATCAAATTCTCTAATACCATGTAGATTTGATAAAATTTTATATCTTACTATATTAATTGAGAAGTACACATATAAAACAATGTAAAAAATTACATTCAAATGCCATTAGAATTAGTTAAGAAAAAGATAGAATTGATGGCAAAAAAAAAAGAAGATAGAATCATTGAGGATAATAAAGATAACTACTCATCTAATTATCTAATTATCAATTATAAAATATGAAAAGAATTACTTATCAGGTATTTTAAATAAATCTCAATCGTTGATCTAGTTAAGATTATAACTAATTTGTATCTTAAAATACATTGATAAAGATAAAACCTTTAAAAATGTCAAAACGAGTAAAAATTATTTTTTCTCTGATATGTAAAGATATCATATCTCAATTATTATAGATACTTTGATTTTTTTTCCTTAATAGAATAAGATAATACTCACTAATAAATATCACTACAAGATAGTTTTAAAGATACACAACTAAAACAACAAATTCATAATATAAAAAAATATTATATAAATTCTTTAAAGAATAGTCCTAAAATAGACATATATGAATTGTAAACAAAAAGATTATAAAAAAAATAACATAAAATATTATTTTAAATATACTTCAAATAAAATGTTCAGCCCACGGTCTACCATAGGTTAGTATCTAGTTCGTAAACAAAAACTAAACATTTTCTTTTCTTTTTGAAATATGTTTATCGACTGAATTTCCTCTTCTTTTTTTTTACTAAACGTAGAGTAAATTCCTTTTTTAAAATAATGCATAGTATTATTTACAATAGTTCCTTTCTTTTTGTTCTGTCAAAATAGTTTCCTTTTAATTGGAACGTATGAAAAAAAAAAATATCCATTTTGTCTGGGAAACAACATAATGTAAACATAGTGGGGTGTATTCCAAGTAGAATTTAAAGTGAATTGAGTTTTCTTGAGTTTAAATGATTTTGATGATTTTAGAGAAGTTCATATGGCTTTTATAAGATCCTTTCAAATCTCACATAAAACCATGGAATTTGGATTTTTGAAATTTTCTCAAATCCTCTTAAATCCTTCAAATTGATTTAAAATCAAATCCACTAATTGTTTTCAATAATAGTAGATTTTAAGGTGAATTTTGAAATCCTTAGTTCAATAACACTGTATTTCATGAGACTTTTTAAAATCCATGTTTGAATAACATAGGATTTAAAAATTCTACTTTGAATACACCCCCCCCCCCTCTAATCAAAAAAGTGGAAGGTACGTTGAAGTTGGCACAATTAGTGCGACGGCCAAAAAAATAAAGGGTTTGGTGATGCTAGATTTCAGAAATCATTAATCATGAATATGCAATGCTAATTACAAATTCATCAATTAACAAAACTCCCTTAGAGCAACAATAATACTAGAAACAACAACCGTAGGTTGATAACTATAAAATATGACTTATTTAAATTCCATATTAGAGTCTAATGGAAAAAAACTAGGAAATACAATTTACAAGAAAAGATAATTAAAGTATACAATCTCTCTTGACAATCTTTACAGGGAATCAAATTTGCCAAAAGTTGTGCGTTCATGAGTATATGCTAAAGTTTCAATCAATTCGATGGCGCTTGATTTAGTAGGCTACTACTCTGACACGAGTTTTTCCACTACTCAGGCTCTCGATGTGCATATCCATCGATCAAAACACCCTTAAAACAAAAAGGTCAATTGATCTATTGTATGGTTTTAAAAACTGTTATGTGTTTACAAACTAGGAAATATTGATGTGAAGAGAATGTGCATGAAATGCTCATAAATTCATGTAGGTGAGAGTAATTAAGTTTGATAATTATTTTTATCAAAAAAAAAACTCTATGAATAAGCTGTTCTTAAACATATTTGATAAGTTTGATAATTATAAGATATGATTTAGTAAAATTCTATGTTAGAACTTATCTTATATATTTAAATTTCGATAATATTAATAATAATAATAATAGAATGTCCGATTAAAAAATTAAAAATAATATAAATAATTGTTTTCAACAATTGTATTTTCAAATTTTTGTTTTTAATAAAGTTTCCATAGAATAAATTAAATCTGTTGAGAAATAGATGGAAATATATAACTTTCATTTTAGAAATGATAATAAATTATTGGATTGACATTTGGCTCCGTTCTCAAAACATCAAAACAAACAAAAATTTTGATAGCCACATTTATTTTTAAGGAGATTGATAAGGTAAATGTAATCATTTAATCAAGCAGTGGAAGTGAAGTTAAAGTTGGCACAATTAGTGCGACGGCCCAATAAGGTAGAACTAAACCCGAATCTGTTGCTCGCTAAATCAAATTCAACCAAATTGTCTTCCAACTGAAACCCTCCGATCACCACAGAGGTTCTCGCGTTGACTCCTCCGTCAACGAAACCCAAGCAGATGACGTCATCTCTCACACTCACCATCGAGTTACCTCCAAAGATCCTCCAAACGACGTCCTTGCTGTGAAGCACAAGCTGGATCTCCGGCACGGCGTATCCCACGCGCGTGACGCCGACGTTCTGCGTGCTGAAACACGCTCCGAACGGTTTCACCGACGCTACTCGCGTGATGTTCCTCGCGGCTGCTTGTCTAACGAACTCCGACGTAAAAGCTTTGTAGATTGATGACTCCATCACCGTGTAAGGGTTCACGGAGCTGATCTTGGTTCCTCCGAATCCGGTACTGTTAATCTTCAAAAGCCGTGGACTGATCGGAATTGTTTTCTCGACGATCTTAATAGCGGTGACGCCGATGAAATACTCTGGGGATTTCTCGCCTTGTGAAAAAGCAGAAGCAGTGCTCACAGGGTTGATGAGAAGTGGCGTCGTTTGGAGCCTTGAGATGGGGATTCCGGGGAGGAAAACGTAAGGCCCGTTGCCGAAGAAGGCGACGCCTTTACCGGAAGTAAGACACACGGCGAATTTGCGTTTAAAGCTAAACGCAGCGGCGAATTGAGACGGCAAGCCGATGTTGTGACGTCCCATTGCAGCCATACCAACTGTTCCTTTAGCTAGTCCTTTAAGGATATTATCTGATCCGCAACTGAATATGAAACTAGGTATTTTAACGAACCGACCCGGATTGGATCCGTTAGTAGACTGGATCGAGACAACATCTAGAGCATATTCGCCGGAAGTAGCCCATCCGGTGACGGTGTTATCTGGAATAGAGCCGCAAGTATTGTTGCTACAGCCAGGTTTTGGAGGGGAGAAGCACGTGCCGCAGCTGGTGGATCCGGCACGTGAACAGACGGCGGAGTTGCAGCGGGGGGAGTGGTAAGAGGAGGAGACGTAGCCTTTGTCACAGTCGACCCAGAGATCTCGACCACCGAGGTCGAAGACGACGGAAACAGGGACGAGAGGAGTGCGTTGTTTTATGACGGTGGTGTATTGGAGAGTAGATGGATCTTTTGTGATAGGGAGAATGAGAGCTTTAGGTCGGAATGATGTTTTAGCAGATGAGGAAGAGAGTGAGAAGATGAAGAGAAGAATGGCGGAGAGGATGATCGGAGAGGAGGAGGAGGAGGAAGCCATTGTTAGAGAGTGAGTGAAGGAAGTTGGTGGGAGTGTGTGTATTTATAGACTAAGGTTTGATTTCGTGATTTTGCTTCTATTTATCATATGAAAGTGACACAAATCAAATCTAGTGTGTTTTTATCTTTTTCCTTTTTGGGTTACTTGAAAAAAAAAAAGAATATAGTATTGTTTCTTTGAAAAATATGAGTCTTTGTTTAAATGAAATGAAATTTTACTATTTGTTTGGTTCGAGTTATTTTGGTTTATTACAACAAGTAGGTAGGGGTGCTTTTGGCATCGGTCTTTGTTTTTGATTTTAAAAAAGAAAAAGTTAATTAGGAAACAGTGTGGATGGCTAATGGAAATTAATTACTAGAAGCAAAAGGTTTGGTGATGGCCAACTTGCCAAGGCGGTCGTGGGAGGGTGTCAGGGTACTCTTTCTTGACTTTTCACAGTTAATTTAGTGTCAGTCTCCATTGAATGAATATTCAGTAAAATTTCTATATATTAATAATATTAGAAGTATATTATTTTATAAATTTATAGTGATATTAATTTATATATAATTTATATCATAAATAATACATATTAATTTATAATAATATTTTTAATTGTAATTTTGAAAATTTGAATTGGTATAAATTTTACAAAAAAATATTAATGTTTAAGATATTATAAATTATATTTTGAAACTGAGTTTTATATTTAAGAAAAGAAATTTGACTATAAATTACAGACATATAGATAAATTCACTTATAGAAATCATATATAAATTCAAATATATTAATAACTTTAATTGTCATACTTTAATATTATATATAAAAAAATTGAATATGATGCATATTTAAATTGAAAACATAAAGAAAATTTGGTTATTTTTATGAATTGTGATTGAGTATATTACAAGATTGTACCTTGAAAATATAACATAAACTTATTTACTGAAATGAATTTTAGGAGAAAATTCATTTTTATATAAAAAATACTAAACATATATTAAGTTAATATATCTACTTATATATATAATTATTATTAATTTATGATATTACTAAAATTATATTTTATAAAAAATTTCAAAAAAACATTGTTTTATTAGTTTATCAAATTTGATTAATTTTTATATTTATCTAATTTGAGATCAACAAAAATTATTAATTTATTAAATATTAATTTTTAGAGATTTTATTGTATTTGTTATTAAATATTAATTTATTAATTACTACTACTATTTATTCATGTAGTAATACACTAATACTATATTATTAGGGTCGGTCACTCCCGACACGTCCACATGTTCTATTACTCTGTCTCTGTGCTGTGACAATCATATTTCCTTCTTTTTATACATCTCGAAAATTACCACGGCTTTTGGATTTTGCGATACCACACTCTTCTTGGATAAGATTTGGTCACTCATGGCAGCACTATGTCTAATTAGTTATATCATGCATATAGGCATATATAAATAATACATCTCAATATCATATCACATTTGTCAATTCACTTTATAGAAGATCGGAAATTACATGATATTACACAAGTGTATCCTAATCTTTCTTCATTTTCTTTCAAGTTTTCCATATTATTTCGAATCTATGCTTAGATCTCATGTTGGAATTCTATTACTAGAGTCGGAGGAGGAACCAACCAACCTTTTTTTCTTTTTCCAAAGTTGTTGCACATTCTTTACAATAGTTTACAAATAATAAAATATGTATATATATAAAATATGGAGATTAGACTGGTAGTATCTTAGGCCATCATTACCGTTGTATTCTCACAAGTCTTAAGCCAATAAACAAGTGCTGAAATATACATACAGTAAAATCATAAGAGGCAAACGGGTTTTGGTTAAGATCTTTTTGAGAGGAGTTGTTAGCGCCACGTGTGAAGTGCTGAATGGCTACTTTTTTTTTGTAAATAAAACATTTTTCTTTTCTTGAAGAAAAGGAAAAAAGTTTGTTTTTTTTTTTATCAATCTTGCTCGTTAGTTTTCTCTCATCACCGTTTCAAGCTTTCGATCCAGAAAAAATATTCCGATATCCCCACCAACATATCACAAGCTTCAATATGTATTGTTCATAATTCTTTATAAACATTTTATCATTTAAATAAAATGTTAAGTGCTTTCATTTCTATTTTTGTATCTTTTTAAGTTTATGTTTTTCATTTTTAAGTTTGTATTTTTGATGTTTCTAATTTGTATCTTTTTTTTTTGTTATATATTTTTCTTTTTAATAATTATTAAATTAATTAATAAAATTTTTAATAAATTTTACCTTATTTTATTATTATAATTTTAAGAACCTACATATTCAACCAATAACTATCATATTTTATTTGATTCTTAAAATTAACTATTATATTATTAATATATTAAACATCCCCTAAGATGTATCTTTGGGGTTATGCCCATAATGATGCTCTTAGGGGTGTTATTTTTTTAAGAAAATATCTATATAAAATATGTATATATAGTATTTGCAATATGTGTAATATAGTTTACAAATATTTCGATTAATGTGAAATATAGAAACCGACAAACACATTAATCAGAACATTGATTCTATCACTGAATAAGATATGCCTGAAAAATATTATAATAAACACATCAGTTGAGAAGCCTGTTTATATTTTGATTTGTTTTAAAATATTAATGCAATGATATCTTTGTAAATGGTCAAAAACTTTCAATCTGTTTAAAAATATTATCCAAGTGCATAGTATATAAATATTTTTCATACGTCTCCCACAATTTTTCTTAAAAATATTTATATAAAACTGTTATCACCACAATAAAACACATGCAATGTATTTGATCCAGTTGTTGATGTTGTTCATAAGTAGTAGTACGAACTTGACCCACCATCGTCGGAAACATGTTTACTCTCATACGAACTGTTGATGTTCCAATGGTTTTCAAAATCTGTAAAATAAATATATAGATTAAGATATATAAAGAAAAAATAACAACTACATTGCTTATATTATTCATATATATTTGAAATAGAGATGAGTTAAGAATGTTTTTTATATACCGTAATCAAAGATGGATGGAGTTGGTATCTCATGCTTAAAATTAAGATCTTCCAAATCTCCAAAAATTTCCTCCTCTTCATTTTTTTTAGCAACTGAAACTTTGCCAATTACATATCAAACAATAATTTTATTTCTGTCTCATACTTGTAACAAAAATATCAAAGTCTAATGTTCTCACCATTTTTGGCAATTTTAGAATTACTCTTTCCATTAACAACGTCGACTTTCTCATCATTAGCAACACTCTGTAAAAAAATATGGTTTAGTTATATAAGTTATGTATTTTTATGCATATCTATAACATTGAATTTTGATCCGACCAAAAAATATATATTGAATTTTGATATATCTAGAATGTATATAAAATTTTGCATATATATATGTGCAAGATTGCTAAATGAAACATTAAAGTTCGTAACACACCTCTTTGTTGATTTTGGCCAAAGGTGATTGAATTTGAATGTTAGGATGTCCCTGTAAAGGATGAATAACAATAAATTCATTATCACAAATACTTGATCTTATGATAACAAAAAAAAGTAAAAGCTTGTAACAAACCATAAATAACCAAAAAAAAAGTCTAATATAAATATTTATTTGAAAGCCAGCTTGCTATGCATATTAACATATTTTTGTATCTATTAAGAGAAGAAAAAATTACACTATTATATATATACATATATATATGTATATATATATAAATTAATGTTCATTAGAGGTTGATGACATAAAATAGACTATCAATTTTATTAAAAAAATTATTTTAAAATATTATGTTTGCATAGGTATTTAAATAAATATATTTAGATATAAGGAACACACCTGGTGACTCGAAGTCAAAGAACAAGTTCCTTGGTTGTGAACATCTCTGCTTCTAACTTGACCAATGGTACATCTACATTCACCATCAGGGTCACCACCATGACCACGAGCATGACCAGCACATTCACAAATTTTCTCAGGATATTCAGCACAGATAGGATCCACGTCTGTAATCAGTTCATCATCTGGTACATTCATTTCTCTTCCAACAACCTGTGCAATTTTATTATATCCATAAATCATTGACTGCAACATATGTAAGCATTAATTTTTTAAAATCTTGAAACTTTGACCCGATCCAAAACCGCCGACCCAACCCAATTGTTTCAGCCTTTCGGGTTTGGCTCAACACTAGTTAAAATTCAATTTAATTCGGAGGGATTGAGATTTGTGTTCGGTAGTCGGTCCGACTCGATACCCGATTAAAAAAAGTAATCAAAAATTATACCGCAATATACCGAGTTCTATAGCAAACCCATGACTAAACCAGACTAAATCCGAACCAATTTTTAGGTCTGTTAAATAAGGTAAAGCTTTTAAAAACGCGTACCCAAATAACCCAACCCGACCGGAAACTCGAACTCATAGGCCTAATACAAATGTTACCGAACGATTTTTCATGTATAGCATCATCATTCATTATCAAATCCATCACATATCAAATAGATTAAGCAAATCGCAATAAAATGAAATAAAAACGACAACAAACTCGCAAAAGAATCATCACTATTAACGTGAAACATAAGAATTAGAAAAGGCATCTATAAGATTTGTTGCATATAGAGAAAATTGGAACATACCACAGAACCTTGTGGTTCAGATTGTGAAGGGAAATTTGAAGAGGAAGACATGTCAAAATTTATATCTGAGTTTAGATTTTGTGAAATCAAAGTAGATTACAAAAGACATATTACATTTACAGGGTTACTTATTTATAAATACTAATAGAAAAAGAGACTTGACATATTTATTTTTTGGTATTCAAAGTCAAACTTTAAAAATAAATACCTTTAAAATGTTGTAGATACCTTTTGAATTTTATTTCCAAAGATAAATCTGGAACAATAGTAATTTCAAAATTGGTTTTAGTGACTATTAGATAATCAACAATGTAAAATAGTAGCCAAAAGTTAAAATCCAACTGAAAATAATGCAATATTTATAAAATTTAATTTAATTTAATTTAGGTAATATTTTAAAGTCAATTTGACAATTGGAAATAATGTAATATTTTCGAAGAAAATATATACATACTCACTAAGTAACTAAAAACATATTAAATAATTATGTGGTAATTTAAATTAGTTAGTTTTTTTCCTCAGATTAGTTAGTTTTTTATTGAGTGGAAACATTAAATAAGATATAGTCAAGCTGAAATAACCATTGAACTCATAAATGTCAATTACTACCATATTTTTGAATTATTGGTAGGAAAAGAATATTTCCAATAAATTCTCATAAGTTTTGACCAATAATAAAAATAAATGTTCACAAAAAAGCCTATGACTACACCAGAAGTTGTTTCACTAAATATATTATTGATTTTCATTATGTAGTTTTTTATATTAATTAGTCTATTAGTTAAATGGAAACATTAAATCTAAAATATAGTCCAACTAGAAATAACCATTGAACACATTAATTTCAGTTACTGTACCACCATAAATTGAATTCAATAAGTCAAGTCCAAGGTAGGCATGGCGATGGTTACGGGTAATGCGGTTACGGTTTATTAACCACCGATTATGGTTATCAATTTTTCTTTAACCATAACCTTATCAATTATATTTACGGTAAAAATGGTTACAATTATACACGGTTACAGTTAAATACGATTATGGTTATTCGATGATTCATGATTATGATATACATTAACATTCATAGGTTAAATTTTATATTTTCTTACCTTTACAATACAAATTACATGATAATATATTCATATAATATTTATTTTACAATATAAAATATATGTAATTATATAGTTCAAATATTTATATTAAAATAGTTAAATAAATGAGTTTTTTAAATTAAACAAACCTAAAAATAAATAGATTAATAGTCATAAACCTACAAATTATTAAATTAAATTATTTTTTAATAAAACGAGTAAGGGAGTGGATTAGATTTACTAGTTGACATATTAAGAGATTAAAAAATTATTCAATGATAATTTATTCGAAAGGTTTAATCGTACGCTTAATTATGCGTAAACTGTACTGTTAATCATCACAGTTATAATATGGCTATGGTTGATAATGGTTTTGGTATGTTTTATAAATGGTTTACTTTTATGGCTATCGGTAAAGGTTTTAACCGTTTTATACAGTTATACTACATTTGTTTCACATAGTATGATGTTATGAAAAAGAATTTTGTTTCTAAAAGATTGATTTTGTAGATGAAAATACCAAAAGTATATTTTTACTTTATATTTTTTTCCACATGGGAGTTATCTAATGGTTTATTTTCTCTTTCTACAAAAAATAATTATAAATTAATTTATAAAAAAAATATTTAATTTTACCTTAATATGTGTGAAAAAACCAAAACATCAACTTTTTAGAATAGAGGGAGTAATCCGGTTACGATTGATTACCGTCTAAAATACGGTTACGCTTAGATTTTGGCTATGCCTAGTCCGATAACATTTAACCGAAGATACAAAAGTTGAAGGAGTGAGTCCACGAGGCTAATAATGTCGCGTATCTCACAGATACCTTTCCTAAGAAAATTTTGTGTCTCAAGATCATGCGTCTAGAAGAAGCAAAAAAATGTATGGTAATGAGATATCTTTTGACTGTGGAGAACGAACATCCTTCTACGTATGTTTCTTGCACCTAGGAAGTGTTCTCGTATATATATCAAGTTTTCCAGTTTCACATCTCCAAATTAATGGAAATTTCTATACCAATTGTTCTATATATATGCAGAGCCCCTAACAATATTGCTTCATTCTCATTCACATTCCATTGGAGAGATATTCTTGAAATATTTTTCCTAGTAACAAATTTTTTTTCTTGCTTTCTCTTCTTCACGTACGAGCTAGTTTCCTCAATCTCCATTGATTTTTCTCTCGATGGCTGCAGCAATTAGTAACAAGCTCACTAACCTTTCTAATGGTTTGGTACACAAAGATGAAGACTTAGGATTGGCTGCCATGAGAATTTAGCATACTCCTCACCGTTTTGATACGGATCGTCTCAACCATAAACACATCAACCGATACTGAGAAACTTAAAGTATTTTTCTCACCTCGGGAATTTTATATTCTATGCCACTTTTAAAACTCAAAAAATTAAAACTGCCACTTTCTGTTAAGTATTTTATGGAGTGTCATAATAGGTATTCAAAAAGACAGAATTGCCCTTATTCATTCAGTAGAGATTTTGTTTTTAGTTTAAAAAAATAAAAGGGATGGGACATTTTATCTGACAGCAAAAAGTAGCATTTAATGGGGTTGATGTATGTTAATATCCAAAGGATAATTATTTAATGGGTGATCTAGGTCTGAGATTTAATGGAGGACAAGTAAAAAACAGATCTCGATGAGTATTAATGGAGGACAAGTAACAAAGATTTTCTGGAAGTGGTCGGTGCTGAAAAATGAGAAAAACATATTTTTGGTTGTCCATTGCTATGTTGTCCTCTGCTATGTTGTGTCGTCATATAGAGATCCTAAAGATCAAAATTTGTCCATCAATAAATAACAAATGGAAAGGACGAATAGTAGAACATCTCACAAAAATATAAATGGTCCATCTCATAGTTTACCTGGGCTGAGGAGGATTGTCTATTGGACTAACTGATGGACAGGTTTGATCTGTAGATCTGATCAACAATCTGTAGAATAAATGTCAGAGGACGACTTATGATGGACAAAAAAACTCATGGACAAAATTTGGTATAGATTTGGTCTATAAAAACATACACTACACGAATGGTAACACATCTCACAAAAATATAAATGGTCCATCTCATAGTTACATGGGCTGAGGAGGTTTGTCTATTGGACTAACTGTTGGACAACTTTATTCTGCAGATCCGATGAACAATCTCTAGAATAAATGTCAGAGGACGACTTACGATGGACAAAAAAACTCATGGACACAATTTGGTATAGATATAGTCTATAAAAACATAAACTGGACGAATGTAGAACATCTCACAAAAATATAAATCGTCCATCTCATAGTTTGCTTGGTTTGACGAGGATTGTCTATTGAACTAACTAATGTACAACTTTGTTCTGCTGATCCGATGAACAATCTATACAATAAATATCAACAGACGACTTACGATGGACAAAAAAAACTCATGGACATAATTTGGTATATATCTGGTCTACAAAAAATATACATTCACGGGGTCCGATGGACAAATCCACATGCGTTATTCGAGAAACTCGGCTGGAAACGAAGAAATTCTGGCTTGTGGTGATTCAGGACTGTCGCCTCCATGTTCACCGATGTCGATTGGAAACGCTGCGGGATGTGGTCAAGCATCCATGAGATCTGAAATAGAAGAGGGTAGGATTAATTTGTGTGTAAATAACAAAGGTTTGGAAAAAGATGAACTTCAGCTGAGATTTGGAAGAAGATGAGGTTTGGGAGAACATAGGCTTGGAAGAAGATGAATCGTACACAAAAAAAAAAAATTATGTTTAATTGTATAAAGGCAAAAACTTTTTCTCAGACATCAACAGTATCTCATCAGCTTTAACAAGTTTAAGATACTGAGGGTAAAACCGTCATTTAATATTGCCTTTGTGGCATGTGGGAAAACAAAACAGCAGATGTGGCACTGGGAAAAAGTTTTGACACTGTTCATGTCATTGACTATAATTTTCTCTTTCGAGTAAGTGTTATTGATTTGAGTTTATTTTGCTTAATTTTTCTTACACTAGAGTGTACATGTTAATCATTTTTTTTTTTTTTTTTATTTGTTACTTCAGGAAAAGGCAACTTTAGAATCTATCATTGGCGGTCTGTTATTATGGGCTTCATCACTCTCTTTGGTATGGCTTGGAATCGTGTGGATGGTCTGCTGTTTTTTGGGATATTGTTCCTTCCGGCCTTATGCATCGTCGTGTATATTAGATATCGTAGACGTAACCCGATAAAAAAACAGCTGATGCTAGGTCGGATTCGACTTCGCGATTCTCATGGAGATAAATTTGAAAGCCGACAAATCTTTTATAT